TCATAAGGGGACATAAGTCCGACAGCAGCGACACAGTTCTGAAGCAGCAYGTAACTTTGTTTGAACCCCTGAGGACCGTCAATTATAAGGCTCATGTGCAAGTCGGTTTAACTTTTTCATAACAATAACTATGTATAATAATTATAATACAGGTAAAATAAGCAACTAAAATAAACAAAATTGATGCCAATATATATTTCATATTTTATCAATAAATGCATTGATCAAAATAATGTCCCAGTCTGGTTTCAAAYACAAACAAGTTTCACCAGAACCTTGTTTAAAATCTTGTGATCCTGTATTAAATTTAAAATTTSAGATATTTATGATCAACTTTAAACTTGACACTTTGACAGAAAGAACAGCTGGTTGTGGCACAAAACAATTAAAAACCAAAGCCACTCCTTTATTCTAATCCTGATCATAACCTACAGATATAGGTTTTGCTGTTGATAATGTTTAAATCTCAAAAGTAAAGCAACATCTGTGAATGAGCCGCACCCTGAACTGATCAGGGGACTTCTGCAAAGGCTGTGCATCATTCAAACAGTTGCTTGGTAAATGGTAAATGGACTGAACTTATAAAGCACTTTATCAAGTCCCTCCGGACCCCAAAGAGCTTTACACTTACAGACWTTCATCCATTCACACTCACATTCACACACTGATGATGGCAAACTACATTGTACCCACAGCTGCCCTGGGGCACACTGACAKAGGTGGGGCTGCCATGCACTGGCACCACTGGACCACCATCAGTAGGTAAGGCAGGTGAAGTGCCTTGCCCAAAGACACAACAACTGAAATGGCTGGACGGGGGATCAGACCGGCGACCTTCAKGTTCCAGAATGACTCCCCTAACCACTCCACCACAGCCGCCCACCACAACCTACTGAAGACCACAACAGGTGCCACTCCTGTCAGCTAAGAACAGGAAACTGAGGCTACAATTCACACAGGCTCACCAAAACTAGACAATAGAAGATTGGAAAACAGTTGCCTGGTCTGATGAGTCTTGATTTCTGCTGCGACATTCATGGTAGGGTCAGAATTTGGCATCAACAACATGAAAGCATGGATCCATCCTGCCTATCAATAGTTCAGGCTACTGGTGGTGGTACAATGGTGTGGGGGATATTTTTCTGGCACACTTTTGTTCCATTAGTACCAATTGAGCATCRTGCCAAAACCACAGCCTACCTGAGTGTTGTTGCTGACCATGTCCATCCCTTTATGACCACAGTGGACCATCTTCTGATGGCTACTTCCAGCAGGATAACGCTCCATGTCAAAAAGCTCAAATCATTTCAGACTGGTTTCTTGAACACAACGAGTTCATTGTACTCTAATGGCCTCCAAAGTCACCAGATCTCAATCCAATAGAACACCTTTGGGATGTGGTGGAACGGGAAATTTGCATCATGGATGTGCAGCCGACAAATCTCCAGCAAATGTGTGATGCTATCATGTTAATATGGACCAGACTCTCTGAGGAATGTTTCTAGTACCTTGTTGAATCTATGCCATGGAGGATTAAGGCAGTTCTGAAGGCAAAAGTGGTCCAACCCGGTACCAGCAAGGTGTACCTAATAAAGTGGCCAGTGAATAACAGAACTGAAACATGCATAAAACTGATCAGCAGCAGTTCCACATGTGGTGAACACTTTGAGCATGTTTAAAATTCTGCTCTGGGATGTCCATATGACAAAGTATGTCCTCTTATATTAACATGTTGATAAGTTATCCTAAAATTATGCCTAACTTCCATCAATGTGTTGTAGATTTTTTCATAAGCTGATGCTGTGCTGTGTAACAGCTGCTGACGTCTCATTTTCCTCCATCACGCTGCACAGAGGTTCTGCAGAAGTTCCACYAATGTTGCACACACATGCTGCAGAAGTCCAAACACATTATAATAAGCTTGTACACGTTATGTTTAAGGTAGGGATAATTTACGCATAGGTTTTATTCAAATTGTTAGGAACATGGTATGATCACATCCAAATGAAGGTGCTAATTGATGCTTTATTTTTTTTTCTCTTCCTCAGCGTGTGCCAGTGTGTTGGAAATAGGGCTGCCATGATTGGTTGACTAGTCGATGGCTAATTTAATAATCGATTAGTTTTTTTTTTTTTGTTCTTAACATTGTTTATCTCTCCAAACTGCTTTGAAACCTTCCTCTGCTGCATCTGCCTTTCTGTCCTTGACATATATGCACAGTAGTGGCAACTGGGGTAGGCCGTGGACGTCACAAGACATTATACAGACAGGCTCTGGTATCATGGCTACCTGACAACGAAGCTCAAAAGTGTGGGATCATTTTAAGAACATGAAAGAGAAACCTGTGCAATGCAATGTCTGCAAGACAGAACTTGCCGTGGAAGGCAAGTTCTGCCTTTATATAACTAAGTTCTGCTATTATATAACCATCGTCAGATTTTAGCATATAGCTAAAATCTGACGATGGTTATATAATAGCAGCTGCATTCTGGCGCGATAAGCTGTATGTTTTGTATTCAATATMCGAATGATCCGATTAGTCGACTAATCAAAAAAAAATCGGTGATTAGTCGACTATAGAAATAATCGTTTGTGGCAGCCCTAGTTGGAAAAAAATTGCACACGTTGCATAAGTTGTCCAAAACGTCATAGTGTGACAGGGCCCTAAAGGCAAAAATCAGCAAAACTGTAGCTAAAACATAGTGAAAARTAAATTTTAGTAAAACTAAAATGAAAGCCATAGTAAATATTGAACTTAGCAAAACCACAGCTAAATAATGATTAGCGATTCAGCATAAGGTTCCATCATTTTATTTATAAATTTTTTACRTTCCTATTTAGCTTATTATTGTTAGCAGACCTAAGTAAATTACACCAAGCTAACCAAAATGTTGCTTCACCAAATTCTAAATGGCAGTTTAGAGTTTAGTGAAGTTAAAGTTTAAGTGAGCCTAAGCTACTTGTACCATAAAGCAGTGTTTCTCAACCCTGGTCCTCATGGCACACTGCCCTGCATGTTTTAGAAGTTTCCCTGCTTTAACGCTTCTCTTGTTGGAAAAGGCCTTAAAAGAAATCACCAGTTAGTGAGAGGCTCAAGGAGAAAGAGGCAGAAGCGGCACAGTGTGTGTTGTAGGGGTAGCAGTTAGAAGAACCATATGTCTTCCTAATCTAATGCAGGGGCAGATGGAGTCCTGTAGCCTGGGCTTGCTGGTCACAGTGCTTAGGATTACCATAACTCACATTTGACAACTCCTTTAAAGAAGAACTGAGCAAGGCCCCAGGGTACCTTTAACTGGAACTCTTTGTGTAAATGCAAACTATACAGTACTCCAAAAACTGTTCATCAGAAAAATACTACAAAGATGTGTTAGTTACAAAGTGTTAAAAAAAACTTTCTTTCACTGGTTTCATACAGAGGTGATGGGTAGCCATTGGTTAGTCAGTACTCCAGCAAAACCATACATTTTAATGTTATTAAAAGTGTTATAAAAGAATCACTCCTAAGTTCTAAATACATGTCTTTAAATGTTTCCACACCTGAACTCTGAATGGTAGAACTCCATCGTGCTCAATRTAACCTGCTGGCTGCATCAAACAGCTGTTTGATAGAAACCTGGAGACAAGTGGGCTTAAGTCTTACACTAGTTATAATTATCATCACAATTACAAACAATTATCTAAAGGCTGGTGTGGTAGTARCTTAGAGTCATTCCAAACACATGAGCTCCAGCAGATCATGCTAC